GGTGTTGATTGTAAGCTTTATTGCATTGTGGTCTGAGAGAATGCATGGAAATATTTCAATCTTTTTGTATTTGTTGAGGTTTGTTTTGTGCCCCAGGTATATGGTCAATTTTGGAGAAGGTTCAATGGGGTTCTGAGTAGAAAGTATGTCCTCTGGTGCTTGGGTGGAATACTCGGTAGATGTCTGTTAAGTCCACTTGATATATGGTATTGTTTAATTCAGATGTCTCTCTGTTAACTCTCTGCCCTGTTGACCTATCTAATGGAGACAGTGGGATATTGAAGTCCCCTATTATTAATGAGTTGGGATTAATCTGGGTCTTAAAATCCTGTAGTATTGTTTTTATGAAGTTGGGTGCATAAGAGTTTGGTGAATATATATTCACGACTGTAATATCTTCTTGATTTATTGTTCCTTTGATCAGAATGAAGTGGCCCTCTTTATCTCTTCTGATGAGTTTTAAAGTCTGTTTTGTCAGATATTAGAATTGGAACACCTGCTTTTTTCTTAGTACCATTTGCTTGGTATATTTTTTTCCATCCTTTCACTTTAAGATGGTGTCTGTCCTTGGAAGTGAGATGAGTTTCTTGCAGACAACAAAAAGATGGGTTTTGTTTCTTAATCCATTCACCTTTTTTGTGTCTTTTGACTGGGGAGTTCAGTCTGTTAATATTTAAAGTTATTAGTGAAAGACGAGTATTGAATCCTGTCATTTTTATTTCTGTTTATATTCTTAATATAGCTGTTCCACAGTTATACCTTCATTGAATTTCTTTCTGCAACCCCTTAGATATGGTCATTCCTTTCTTCAGCTCTTTGTATTGCTTCCAGAACTCTCTGAAAGGCTGGTTTTGTGAACATGAATTCGTTCAGCCTATTTATGTCATGCATGGAAGATTTTTCTTTCCCTTTCGACTGTAATAGACATTTTGGCTGGGTTGGCATCTGTGGTCATTTAAAACTGGGAATACTTTGGTCCAGGCTCTTCTGGCTTTCATAGTTTGCACTGAAAAGTCAGCTATAATAATTCCAATGAGTTTTCCTTTATATATATATATGACTTGTTTCTCTTTTGCAGCTTTCAGTATTGTCTCTTTGTTTTGTACGTTTAGTGTTTTTACTATGATGTGCTGTGGAGAGTTTCTTTTCTGGTCCTGCCTGTTTGGTGTTCTATGTGCTTCTTGTATTTGTATGGACATGCCTTTCTTTAATTTGGGAAAGTTTCTTCCACAATTCTGTTGATGATCTGGTCCATGCCATTATCTTGGGATTCTTCTCCTTCCTGTATGCCTATGATTCGTTAGTTTGGTCTTTTTATGGTGTCACACAATTCCTGCATAGTCCATTCTTGTGATTTCTTAAATATTTCATAATCTTTGCTTGAGTGGTCTAGTTTGTCCACTTTATCTACCAGTCTTGATATTCTGTTTTCCATTTTGTTCATCCTATTGGTGAGGCTTTCTCCTGTCATTTCTAATTGGCTTACTGAGTGTTTCACTTCCTTCTTCATTTCAGCCTGAGTATTCTTTAGTATCTTAATTCTTTGTGTGTTCTTTAAATTCACTGAATTCTTTTATCATGTTTATAATTGTTCTTTTGAGTTCCATGTCCTGTAGTTTAATAATGGGGTTCTTATTGTACTCCTCTAGAGGACTATTGGTATTTGGTGGGGATATGTTATTTTAGTTTTTCATGTTATTATTTTTTCTCTGTGATTTTGACATTTGAATTTCTTTCATAGTTTCTTATTCTTGTGTGAGACTCAAGCCTTCATGTTTAGGTCTGTTTCTTTTTGTAAACTTTATGTGTTTTTGTGGTTTACTTTTTAGGCATGAAAGGCTGGTTCCTCTAAGCTTCCAATTCTCTCTTTTGATTTGATATTGGAGTGGCCAGATTGCTTATGTCTTCGGGAGTTCCCACAGAGGGCCAAGTCAGATGAGTATCAGATGCTCTCAAGCTTGGATCCCTCTAGGAAAGATTTTGGTCTCAGAAATTCGGGGGTTGGACTGGCCTGGGTGCAGGGCCCAGGAAAGATGCTGGTCTCAGGCAGCTGGTGACCATGCCACTCAGAGATGCAAAGGGAGATAGGGGTGGGAAGAGGCCCCAAGGGCTCCTTGGGACTGCACTGAGGAACTGGGTTGGTCTGGATGCTAAGCATTAAGAAGCCAAGAGGTCAGCCCCAGTGTCCCAGAAAGAGGCTGGTGGGTTGTGCAGCCCAGGAACGCAGAGGGAGTTGAGGGCAGGGCCAGGCCCAGAGGGCTCCTGGGAACCCCAGAAGGAACTGGGTTGGTCTGGATGCAAAGAATCAGGAAACAGTGGTGGTTCTCCCCAGTGTCTGGGGTGCCAAGACAAGGAATGGGACAGGACCCAGGCAAGGAGGAGAGATGGGTGGAGGAGGTGGAAGGGTAAATGAGGCTGGGGGAGTCAAGGCACGGAGGGTGATCGACTTACCCCAGAGATAGGCCTTTAGGTCATTCAGGCCCAGGGAATCAGAGGGAGGTGAAAATGGAAAAAATTTTAAAGGCATTACAATAAAACAGAAATGGAAATATAGTGTTCCGAAACAAGAAAATAAGATTATAAGTTTAGATAATAAAGGCAATCAGAATAATTGACATAAAAGCATGAGGATGGCTACTTTTATGAAGGAGATAGTTGGTGTTATTGGGACCAGGGTCATGAAGGGCAACAGAAATGATGGCAGAGTTTTATATTTTTACCTGGTTGGTAGATAACAATATGCTTCTTACTATAATTCATCATATTATATATTTGTTTTATACTTTTCTTGTGTCATAATTTGTTATGCTTTACAGTAAAAATGTTTAAAAATAAATGAACATTATATATTCATTTGACTTTTATATTATCATTTGTTGGAAATTAAAAACATTCATCACGTAGGGCAAGCCCATTTATAATCTAACTATTATGTCTCCTAGTGAAGTTTGTAATCTATTTGAGGTACATTCACAAAATGACAACATTAATGAGCAGTCTAAATAAATTTAAGTGGAAATATTAATCTTAAGGCCTTAACCTTTTGAATATTATTACAAAATTCAGTGGCAAATGCTTGTTTCAGCTTAAGAATTTCTACTTGGTTCTTTTTATTAGTTTTTATTTCTCTACTAAAATTTCTCATCTTTTTATGTTATATTATTGTTTTTATTATTGTTTGTTTTTTTAGACAGAGTCTTACCATATAGCTCTGATTAGCTGTGACTCACTATGTAGATCATGCTAGTCTCAAAACCCTCCTGCCTTTACCTTGATCCCAAGGGCCAGGTGTATACTACCTGATCATCTTGGTGTTTACACCAAGATCATCTTTTTAATTATAACACATTTTTGTTTATTTTATAACTGTTCCTTCAAGAATCTAATTATTGATAGGCATGGTGGTGAACACTTTGAATTCCAGCACTCAGGGAGCAGAGGCAGGTGGAGCTCTGTGAAACAGAGGCCAGCCTGGTCTACGTAGTGAGTTCTAGGCCAGCTGGAGCTATAGGGAGACCCTGTCTCAAAAAGACAAAAAACAATTCTGCTCATGTCAATATCTAAGTTAATTCAAAGGCAGTTCCTATAAACTCTCTTTCCCTTGAGAACAAGTCATAATTTTCTGTTTATAAACTAAATTTTTCTGAACTTTGTGACTATTATGTTAAAGAGACTCTAGTTCCATTTTTCCAAATGATGTTGATATTAGCAAGGGTGGTGTTGCTGTGCTCAGGTAAGTAACTTTGGTTGGTTTCAGACTACAAACTGTCTCTAGGGAAGCAACTTAGTCTCATTTGAGTTCTTTGACTGAGGTGCTTGGAATGTGCTCTGTGCACTTGAAGTTCATAGATCAGCAGAATTTATATTTGGGACTCCCTCTCTCATGCAATCTCCTATTCATAGTTAACACTTCACATTCCAGCAGTTGAGGTTGCCCTTGTTCTCTAGTTCTGCAGGTCAGAAAATCTGGAGTTTTCTGCCAGAGGTTTTGCAGATTGAGACTGCCCTTAATTATGTAAGAAACAGCTTGACTCTATGTGGACACCTCATTCCAAGTATCATTTTTCCCCTAGAATCTCCCTACTTTGGGTCACTTTCCAGCACCTTTCAATAGGATCCTGTTGGTTCATTTGTTTTTTGCTTGTTTGATACTGTTGTCCAACGTTTATTCTTCTTAGTCAAGTACAAATCCATCTGATGGAAGTTAATTTGGTTATCTCAATTATCCTTAAAGAAACAACATGAAGATCTTTAGAAGTTCTTTCTATGGATAAGTAACATACTGACGTAGGAAAATGTTTCTTTTTAAATAATGCATATTAACTAGTTTTAAATACTTTTGTGTTATCTTAGGAAAAAATCTGATGAAGCTGATAACTATCAGAGAGAACTTAGAAAACTGAAGTTTGAATCAATTATTTCTGAGTCAAGGTACATACTGCAAATCTTTTAACTAATGTCTTTAATAATTGAACTTAAAATCTTATTTTAAATAACATTTTATTGAAAATATATTTGCCTCATTTTCTTGTTTACATATGTAATACCTAATTTGTTTCTCTAAAATCTCACAAGTTTTTCATTGTTTGGGCCTCTACCTACATTTGTGTATTAGTACTTTTTTCTGTGCTGTGACAAAAATAACTGGCAAAAGCAGCTTAAAGGAAGAAGAGTTTATTTTGGTCCATAGTTTAAGGAGGAATACAGTGTTGATGAAGAAGATATGGCTGCAGGAACGTGAGGTGTCAGAGGTCAAGAAGCAGAAAGAGATAAACACTGGTGCTCATCCAACTTTCTTCTCTCCTTCCACTCTGTAACTCAGCCTCTGAGATAGTGTCACCCGCATTCACAGTGGGTCCTTCCCCTCAGTTAAACCTTTCTCAAATGCCCTAATAGACACAACCAAAGAAGTATTTTCATGGAAATTCCAAATTCAGTGAAGTTGACAATAAGGAAAAACAGTTACAACTCCACCCTTGTCAACTTTGTGCCCAAACATATTACTTTAATCATAAAATTCTACCCCTGCCCCCCTGAAGTCTCATTTTCATCTCATAATGTATTCTAGTGTTTAACAGTCCCAACACTGTTGTTTCAAAGTCCAAAATTTCCTATGAGACCTAAGGCAATCTCTTAAGTGAGCCCCTACAAAATAAAAGGCCAAGTTACATACTTCCAATATACAGTGTCACAGAGTAAGCATTCCCATTCCAAAGGGGAGGAACAGAGTTATAGCAAGGCAAGATCTGGCTAAAGCATGCCAAAACACAGCAACACAAAACACAGCAACCAAACCCTACAGCTCCACATCCCACTCTGGGGCTTATGATAGGATTATCTTAGCTCCAACAATTTTGAACAGCCCCTGTCTCTCAGGCTGTGCCTCCTGCAATACATACAACCTCTCTCTTGGGCCAGCTCCATGCCATGCCTGCACCTTTTCTCAGCAGATATCATGTGGTTCTGGCATCTCCAATACCATGCAACTTGGGCTTTACCTTCACAGCTTCACCCAGTAGCATCTCAGGACTTTCTTGTAGGGAATCTGACCTTGCCACACATTGCCTAGCCTCAGAAACTTTTGAGGATGTTAGAGAAAGCCTCTGTGACCCCCTGAGTATCCTTTATTTGCATACCTACAAAACCAGTACCATGTGAATGACACAGAATGTGGTGCCACATTCTGCTCCCACCTGGAGATGTAGTCTGGCCCCTTTCTATCACAGCTGCAGTGATCTCTATGTACCTTCTTGTCTGAATCTGAGATAACACTTTCCTAGGCAGTTGTTTTTAAAAAGGAAATCTCTTCGATGTCCTCTCAGTTCAGTTCAGTCTCTTTCCTTTTATATGAATATGCATTTTCACAAGTTGAAATCTTTAATGGGTGGGATCTTGTCCTCAGGGCGTCTTTCCTGTTGTCTCAATGTAGATAGTGTGAAGCTTCTCTTGAATGGTGTGAATTGCTAACAATCACAGCTATTTTGTTTGCACTTATCTTGTCTGCAATATTAATATCTTATTATTCTTATTTTTCATGTATGGATGTATTACCTGCATGTATGTAAGTGCACCTGTGTTGTCCAATGCCTGAGGAGGTCAGAAGACGGCATTATATCCCCTGGAACTGGAGGTCAGATGGTGGTTAGCCATCATGTGGGTACTGGGAACCAAATCCAGCCAGTGCTCTTAACCACTGAGCCATGTCTCCAGCCCCCATCTGCAATTTTAAACTCATTCATATTCCTTTGCTAAACTACCCATTTTTCATGCTATTCTGCTTTAATTGTTGCTCTCTGTAAGTGTAGACCTGGATAAGATCAGTGAGCCATAACCATGACACAAGCCTGAGTGTTATCCTGTCTTGATGTTTCCTTCACCAAACGAAGAAGTACATTAGTTTTGAATTTGGCCTCACTGAAGTTCTTAGGACATGAGAGATTCTTTATCAGAATATAATATAAATGGCCTCTAGTCTAGTTCTCCAAAGATTCTTGTTCTTCTCTGAAACCTCATGAGCCAGACCTCCACTGTCTACATTTCTCTTGGCATTCTAGTCTTCCACTAGAATGGTCCATTACACTCTTCTTCCAGCATCCAAGGACTCTCTAGCCTGCAGCTCTAAACTCTTCCACATTCTTACTATAAACCAGTTCCAAAGGCCTAAGAACCACATGGTCAGATTATCTCACTCCTTGGTACCAGTTTTCGGTATTAGTTGCTTTACTCACAGCTGTTACCAAAATTCCTAACAAAGGTAACTTATGGATGGAAGGGTTTGTTTTGGCTCATTGTTTAAGAAGGAATACAGTCCATGGCAGGGAAGTCCTGGTGGCAGAGGCATGAGGCAGCTGGTTCCACAGTCAGGAAGCAGAGAGAGATGAGTACTACTACCCAGATTCCTTTCTCTTTTTATACAATCTGAGAGGAATGATGCAGCCTACATTCAGGGTAAGTCTTGTCTCCTTACTTAAACCTTTCTGGAAACATTCTCAAAGACACATCCATAATCCATGTTGGTTCTAAAGCCAGTGAAGCAGACAAAATTAACTATCACAGTGGGAAAAAACTCTAACATCATAGAACTAATTATATTTAAAGTTATTGTTATATTCAAAGTTTAACTGAATGTTCTATCAAATATCAAATCATAGTATAAATATACAAACATAGTATCTTAATGCATGCTTGTGAGATTTTTCCCTGTTCCTTTATAGGCACAGTAGGCTGCTTAAAGAAAAAGAAGACTCTTTAAAGATTTGTCAACAAATATATAAAACTTTACGGGAAGAGCTGATAACAAAAGAAAGACAAGAAGAAGATATAAAAAGAAGAGTCAACCTTGCAGAAAATGAGCTAGAAATGAGCAAAACGCTTCTGGATCAGACAAAGGAAGAAGTTGTGACACTGCAGAATGAAAGGTGAGGTCCAGAATAATTCCTTAAAAACAGTTTATCTTAAGTAAGTATTCAGTATGTATTTGAAACATCAGTGTGCCTATTATAATAACATTAGAATTACAGGCTTAAGAGTACCACACATGTACTTCATCACCTCACTTTCAAGTGATTAAACTGAATCCCACTTTGATTAAATTGCTTATGTCAAGTCTCACAGTGTAAGTAGAGATGGAACTCAGGTTGCATTTGGTATCAAATTTTTACTCAAAAAAAATTGACTGTGAATACTTATAACATTGGACAGAAATTGGAGAATTGTTTTTATTTTAACAAAAATTTGTTTTTTATATTACTTTTCTTCTCTCCTCCCATTTTAGCATCTCTTTCTGAGCGTTTTCCATAAAGGTGATGTCAGGGGTACTAAGAAGCTTCATTGTATCTGATTTTACAACCCGCGCTCCCTTCTCCACTTTGCACAACTTCCTCAGTATTTGTCTTGAAGGGCTAAAGTTCTGTCAGTTTCTCTCACTGTGACTTGTCTTTCTTAAGCATGTGATAGCACTGAATGTTCAGGGACTCACTTCCTTGGATAAGGCAGAGAATCTAGAGTGCCCCTCTGTGTATCTCTGGTCCTGTTTCTGACCCACTCCCACTGCTTTGGGATTCTCCTGGTCAGTAATTTAATAGAGAGTGTCTTCTTTCTAACACCTTAGTAGAATTCATAGTAGAGCTATATTCAGATTGAAAACAGGATAAAATAGTGGGCAACCACATTCTAAAAGAGAAAGCTTAATGTTTAGTTACTTGACTAAGGCTCATCATAGATTCATAAAACTTAGAAGCTATGTTAACTGATTAGACTTATTTAATATTAGATATAATGAAAGGATTCAGAGATGGGCATGGTGGCACACCCCTGTAATTCCAACACAGAGGAGGCTCAGGCTGGAGGAGCTCTGCAAGTTTGAAGCCAGTTCAGGCCAGCCATGGCTACATAGTTGAGACCCTGCCCTCAAACACCACCACCAACAACAAGAAGGGATTCAGTGGTGAAGTAAGTGCTGTTATCTGTGGGCTTTAGAGTTAGACAAACATGGATTTACAGGCCAGCTTGTCGTTGGTCAGGCTCTCCAAGCTAAAGCTCCTTTGCCTTATGTGCACATTGGGCATACTAATACCACTGCCTTTTGAAAATATTGAAGCATCTACTGCTGTGACTTGTGGGTTACAGACACTCAGAAAGTATTAGTTCTTTTTAATCATTTTTAGACTACAGGATCCTTAAGACATCATATCATTAGTTTTAATACCCTGCTCTTACCATGTAGATATTCATAAACATCTGTTGAATCTGGTATTACCTGCTTTATTCATAAGTTGTAATGAGTAATCCTTGGAGTGATTCCTTTTGATGTCAAAATCAGAGTAAAGCAATACCAAGTGAAGTATCGTCTAAGTATCTTCAACAATTTAACTATATTAGTTACTTTTCTGTTGCTCTGATAAAAACACCAACCAAAGCAACTTAGAGAAGGAAGAGTTCATTTAGCTTACAGTTCCACAGGGATTAGAGTCCTACATGGCGGGGGTGGAAGAGGTGGCAAAGGTGGCTGAAGCAGAAAGCAAAGCGATCACATCTTGAAGCACGTGCAGGAATCAGAGAGAGACTGGAAAATCTGGCAAGGCTTAAGAACTCTTAGAGCCTGCCCCCCAGGGATATGCTTTCTCCAGCGAAAGACCACATCTAAAACATCCCCAAACAGCGCCACCAACTGGGCACAAAATGTCTAAATACTTGGAGCCTCTGGGGGACATTCTCATTTGAACCACCACAATAACTTAAGTTTTTCTCCGAAGACTCACATCTTTCTCTAGTCTCCTATCCATCAACAGCTTTGAGGACAACTGACTTTCCCAATTTCATATATCAGTACTTGCTGTTTTTAATGGAGGCGGGAGTTGTGGCAAAATCAAAATTATCTCTCTGATTGACAATGTGAAGACATCTCTAAAAGGACAACTTGTGAAGTAGAACTTAAGCTGTTGTTTGGCATTATGCTTGGACGTTTGTTTGCAGTTACGTTTTAAACTGTAATTAAGAGAATCTAAATTTTTGCATTTATATAAGAAATTAGATTCTCATTTTCTTTTTGAGCTGAGAATTTAAAAGTTAGGTTTTAAAATAAATACTCTTAATTGCAAGTATATCCTAATTTGTCTATTGTATCAACTCTGAAAATGTTAATTTAAAAAAATCTGGGGAGATTGCAGGGTAGTGTTAGAGACAGTCACAAATCCCTTTGAGATGCAAAACAAAGGCAGCCTGACACACTGTAGAGATCCCTGTGTTGGCACAAGCTTGCACCAGCTTGGCCACTTGTAAGTCTGGTCACCTGGGTCATGTGCTTCTCTGGTCTTCATTTCCTCTAAAACTGGGAGAATTGCATGAACATATTTCTAAGGGATGACAAGGATCCACCACTGCATCCGCAGAGATGACAGCATGGCCTGGCACACAGCAGGCACTCAGCGTGTACTTACTGGCTGGATAGGGATGGATTTCTTTCTCATCAAGTAGCTGATTGCAGGATTTGAAACTGGGAAGCTCCTCCCAAATTTCCTCAGGCCCTGAGAGCTCCTGATTTGCTAAAGATCAGAGCTGGGAGTAAAATGCAAACTCACAGATTCTAGCGGAAATCCTCTTGATTTGAGTCTTAATAAAATTCAAATTCAGGACTTAAATCTGTTGTATTTCCTATAACTCTAAAACATCAATATCTTTAGAACTGGTTCTGAAGAAATCTGGTATCTACACAACTATATTTTTAAAAAATTAAGACATGAGCTGCACCTTTATAACGAATGTTTTATTTCTTATAATTCTTCTAGGTTTCTAACAAACTGTTGTCAGGGTTGGTCCTTTTATTTGTTTCTATACAAGACTGCTTTCTCTCATCACTGTCTCAAGATGATGTTGTAATACCAAAGAATGTGAGAGCCCTTCCACGGGCAGAATGTGTAAGTGTGGTTTCATTTGGGGAATCAGGATTAATCATCTCCATATACATTATTCATTACCCATTCTATTCTGATCAAGGACAGTGAGTGCTTATAACATTTATAGGTGTTCTATCTGCCTTGTTCCATTAAAGATTCTTAGAGTCAGGAACAGAGGCTCAGCAAAGAATCAAAGATGTAGAGAAGTCCTCATTTCTGCAACCACAGGTTCAGACAAAATTACTGTCACAGATGTGAATTCAATTACAGCGGTTCAGTTAAAACTCCTTGTACTTTATGGAAATGTCATACCAGAGTTGGTAAGTCTTTGAAAATTTAGTGGGCAATGATTGCTTTATCAACTTTATTTGAACCCTTATCCTACTACATTTTAGCTGCTACAATCCACTAGATCTGGAATTTTTGTTCTCAAGAACAATGAGTGCTCTGTGCATGAGAGGACTGCATATGGAATTGGCTCTACTTCCTTCTCATGCTGTCAGAATTGCAGCTGTGTTGAGGAAGACTGAAATTCAAGCATCTCAGCTATTCTACCATCCACTTCATAGCAAAAGTAACAACTAGTGTTACAGGCATCATCTAAAATTGTTCATTAGAGTTTCCTAACCAGCAAGACCTGTTCAAATAGGAAACCTGCTTTAAGAAATAAAGTCAAGGGGGCCAGAGAGATGACTCCACCATTGAGAATGATTGCTGCTCTTCCAGAAGACCAGAGTTCCAGTCCCAGCACCCAACTGTGTGGTTCAAAACCACCTGTAACTCTAGTTCCAGGAAATCCAATGCCCTGTTCTGGTATCCATGGGCACCAGGAATGTACATAGTGTACATACATACACATACAGGCGGAACACTCATACACATAAATATAAATAAATCTTTCAAAAGAGAAAGAGGGAGGAAGGATAGGGAGGGAGGGAGTTAGGGAGGGAGGGAAGAAAGGAAAAGGAAAGGGAAGGGAAGGAAGAGATAGATTACAAAGGGACACACCCCACCCCCAACATCTTTGGAGCCAAAGGAAGTTTTTAAAAGCTGTTTTTTTGCCCCATAACAGGGCAAAATATATAATGCCTTTCTAACATGGTCACCTAAATAATGAAAGAAAAGTTTATCTATTCATAGAGGAAAGGCAGAAGATGTGAACAAAACTATGCCAAGAAACTACCACTAGAAGAAACAACCATAGTCTAACCAAGACATGTTTCCCACTCTAGAGATTTCAGAGTTCGGACAGACTCGCTCAAGCCAGGTGACTTACAGTGTGCCTCCCACTATAGCAGAGGACTGGACTATCCACACCCAGTTACCAGACTCGGCTACTCGACATTGAAATGTGAACAGAAGTTTTCAAGTATCTCTGTTTTAAACATTTTTCTTTTCTGTCTACTACAAAAGCACCATCCTCTGGTAAAAGTTGCTTCCGTATCCACAGCCTAGGGAAACACATGTGGAGGTGAAGCCCAAATAAACACATACTGTAAGCAGAAAATAAAGATTTGTACTATAAGGCACTGAAATTTCAGGCATTAAGTTTGAGATGTTTCTAAAATAAAGTAGAGCAATCACATGGAATGCTGGATATGTGAGTCATACTCAGAACATATCTGAGCTGCAGATAAAATTTGGGAGTTATCAGCATCTACCTTGAATTAGAGGCAGATGAGTCTGCAGGCGAGAAACATGCAGGTGTTTGGAAGAAAGGCACACATGATATTTACTGTGATCCCACTTTGCCACCCTGACTCTGCTCTGGCCTAAAGATGGCTCTGCAAGCTATCAGAACCTGCTGTGTTTGCCTGATGTGTAAAGGCAGGCTTCATTTTTAAATTCACTGAGCTTTAAGCAGCACTGCTACAGTGACTAATTTACCTCTCTCCAGGAACAGATGACACTGCCACGTCCAGCAGAACAGTGATGCACACTACTCAGGAGAAAGACATACTTGGTATTCACTTGCCCAGTGCTGTGTCTTGGTCTTGACCCTGAGTCCTCCTTACCATACTAAA